AACTAGAACTCTGTTACGAGATTAGTATAGATGAGTCAATGAAGAATGTCAAAGTAACATTTCAACTTATGTTTGCAAATAGTTTTCATTATATAAAATCATTGGTCTTTCAACTATTAGAAATCAACTAACTTTTCATTGAAAACGAAAAAAGATTTTCATCTTCGTTAAAGGTTTTTGTAGACATTTTTTGAATAAAAAGAAAAAAAATTTAAACTAGATTTGAATACATAAAGTGATGGAAAAGAAATGAGCATGAATAATGTATAAATAAATTGGAAAAGAGGAAGTGAAACAATCAGAGAAGTTCAACGCCTTTTGAAAATCTAAAAGATACGTTACATTTTGAATAGGGATGATCATTATTATTTTAGTGATATGATTCCAAGACGTGATGATCATTACTATTTAAAAAAAAAATATATAAAAACAACATAGGGAAAACCAGGAATCAACAACCCATGAACCTTTCTTTTTTATTATATTTTTTATTTGTAAATATTCTTCGTAATCAATAAAATGTAAAAAAAAACTATGGTTTTTTACCTCGATTTTCTATTAAAACGAGGGTTAAAGTATTTTACCTAAATTAAAAATAAAAAACCATTAGTGATTTTGTTGATCAAATATATGCCGTTCATTTTATGAGATATCAACGCTCAAGACACTACCATTAGTGATTCTGTTGATCAAATATATGTCGTTCATTTTATGAGATATCAACGCTCAAGACACTACCATTAGTGGTCCGCGTGAAACATAAAAAACTTCCATTATAAAAACATATTTCTGAATATGAAGAAGCATGTGAAGCATCATGAAGCGCTTGAAGCATATCTACATCCACCTCTTTGGGTTTGCAAGATCATTTGTCATGAAAAGACCACTAAGACGGATGCAAGAGTAGAAAATTATTTGAGTTTAAGGTTTGTATTTTTAACTATTTATTTGAGCAAAAATCATTTATTTATCTAAGCTTTTTTTATCAAATTTTTTTTTTGTTTTATATCAGAAACAAATTCATACGAGGTAAAACCATTGAGAATTCGAAGATCTAACAAATCCATCGCACCCAACATTTAATCTTGCTCAAATATCAAAGATTCAAAGATCTAACATATGATTTGCAAGGACAATTTAATTTTTATTTTAATATTCTGCGTAAACAATGTATTATTCTGGGTAAACATTGTAGTTTGTAAACAAATTATTTTATTAATATTATGTGTAAACAATGTAACGAGTTTTATTTGAAAAAAATAATCTATCTTACCCCTCGATTTGTGGATAAACCGAGAGGTATGAGATGCCGTTTTAGTATATAATAAAAATGCAGATGTTGGGGTTCGAACCCATGATCATATAATTTTACTCGATTTTTTATCAACTGAGGTGTTAAGTGACATCTTTTCATATCACCCTTCGTTATTTCGCCTCGGTAGTCGAGGTTACATCTCTCTCATGTGCGGCGTTATAAACGTCATTTGTAGCAGTGTCTCTATCTGCTAAATAAATTTCAAATACCACATAAAATGCCAATCATCACCTATTGTGTTAATAAATCGGCCTTGTACATAACTGCAAATTATCTAGTATAATCTAGTATTCCATGAAAGAACAAAGCATGTATAAATAAATTGTCACATGGTTAGAGATAAAGTGCTAGTAGGTGAGGGGCATCTAATTCCCATAACTTCAAAGGAATAGGTTGCATATATTCTCACAAAGTCATTGTACCCGGATTCATTCAACAATCTTCGATCTAATTTAAGAACTATTGACATATATTCTAATTTGAGGGGAAAAAGTAGTTGAAATTGGTAAATAGGGATTCATAACTACAAAATAACTTACTTGAAGGCAATTTATCAATTGGTTACGAGTTAGTTGAAGTTATATAAGTAACTCATCACCCTTATATCAAATTATATTTGAAGTTTTAACAAATGACTTGAACAACCATTTATAAAGATGAATTTTCATGCATTGTTAAATAGAAAGAGAGAGACATCCAATATAATAAAAGAAATATTTCTCTTGGCATTCTTTTTCACTTATCATCTTCACCAGTGGTCCTGACAAATATTTAACAATTTTGTTCGAATGATAATCTCAGAAAAATAATTTAAAAAGTCACTTCTAAGTAACTTTTGAACCATTGATACAATATAGTCTAAAAGATTATTGTCAAGCTTGTTGGACTTTCAACTAGGGAGCATTGAACATAGTGGGACTTTTTTCTAGAGCAACCTTTGTGAGAGACACACCACATACTTACTCAAAACCTTAAGGTAATAGGTGTATGAGTTCTCTCACTTATAAATGCTCAAGTCACCACATTTTTATCCAATGTGGGACTATTATTCACCCTACTCACATTTGTTAATACTTAACAAAGCTGAGGGAGAAAATAATTTTTTTTTCTTTAACTAGATTTTACCATCTTAATTTTTTATAAAAATACATTATAAGAATACAAATATTAAGCTATATGCTAAAAGGTAACATAATTACTCTTAAACATAGTAATTATTTTGGTTCCTTGTACTGACAGAAACCAACACACTTACTTAATAGAGTGAAAAACAATTTACATTGACTATCAGATTGGCATGGAAATCCAGTTTCTGCATCATAAGGAAATAACAATGTTATCTAAAGATAATTAAATATTGTGTATAAAGTAAATTTGAAAATAGTGTGAAAAATAACATACTTATAACTTGAAATTTAGTACTTGAGCCATATTTCTTTTTCTCCTTTGCGGGTAATATATATATATATATATATATATATATATATATATATATATATATATATATATATATATATATATATATATATATATATATATATAACCCTTTTAACTAAAAAATTGCTTACTATTATATATTCACTTAAATACTACTTAATAAAAATTACAAGTCATTTATAAAATTTAAATTAATGTTAAATGTCTATAATCAGTATGTTGCGTGTATCTCTTTAACTCAATCAACAGATAATTATCAAATTTTATTATTTTTTATTGTAAAAGAAATAATGAATAATAAAAATATTACACATAAATAATGTGTCAAGGAGGAGTGACAAACGGTAGGATATTTGACAAGTACCAACGTATATACATGTATCATGTATCATATGAGTAGTTAATTACTCATATCATATCAGATATTTTTTTATCTGCATTTTTAATAAAAAAAATATTGATTAATTATAATCTGTTATATTATTTTAAAATTTTAATAATATTAAAAAAAGTAAAGATAATATTATTGAGTTAAGAAATAAACAAATATTTTTATTAAAAATCGTACAAATTTAACAGTGATATATTTATTAAATTGATATAATAATAAATATAAAAATATATAAATATATATTGTACAAGTATGAAGCATGTGGATATTAAAGTATTCGTATCTACTTATTTTAGGGGGTAATTGTCCGTGTTCATATTCACATCCATTTTTACAGATTTTTATCTCATCTGTTGTGAATAATATTTGCAGGTAGGGCTGGAAATGAGTCGAGTCGAGTCGAACTCACCTCAGCTCGGCTCGACTCATTAAGAATTGTTCGAATTCGAGTTCGAGTTCGAGTTTGACACGAACTTTTTTTTAAGCTCAAACTCGACTCGTTATTAGTTCACGAACAGTTCGGTTCGACTCGTTAGGTTCATCTCATTAGGTTCAGCTCACATGGTTCACGAACTTAAAAACTATTTTTTTAAATATATATATATATATTAGTATATTTGACATTTTAAATAAATATATATTTTTTAAATAAAATATTAAAATAAAATAAAAGTTTTCATATTGAAATTTAACTTTATCTTCGAAATCTACTAATTCAAAACCTACACAACTTTCAAGAGATACATTTGAGAGTTTAATTCAAAAACTACTAAATTGAAGATTAAATTTGTCTAAGATTTGAAGTAAATATTTAAACCTAATCTTAAAGATAGTATAATTCTTTTCATATGTAATCGAGTTAACTCATGAACCTAACGAGTCGAACTATGTATAGTTCAAGTTCAGCTCATTTAGTTAACGAACTTAATTTTTCGCTCATACTCAACTCATTTGGTTCATGAACCTAGTTCAACGATTTAATTGCCGAGTCGAATTCCGAACTATCTTCGAGTTGGTTTGGTTCATTGCCAGCCCTATTTGCAGGTATCCATTAGGACGAGCCAAATTGCAATTCCTACATTAAAGTAGTGATAAATCATTTATTTATAAATTAAAATTACTATAGGATGGTTATTTTTCACATCAATTCGTATCAAAGTTAATATCTTTCAAATGTGTCAATTATATTTTGTCAAATGTTTTGTAATATTTGAACAAGGACCACTAATTATCCTCCAGGGAGAACCAGTTTCTCACGTTTAAGTAATTTCAAAGCTTCCCTTCTCTTTTTTAGTGGAGAACCAGTTAAAAAAATATATTCCCTTCTCTTTTTTAGTATGATAATTAGGGAGAACCAGTTATCTTCCCTTCTCTTTGATCATAGAAGGAGAAAGAGAACAAAATAAAAGTGCAGAAAATTTAAAATATATTTAAAAATATGAAAACAAATATATTAATAAAATTAAAAAATATAAAACAAAAATTATGTCAAATTTTAAAAAGTTAATAATACTACCACGTTGACGGTAACTAAACTTAAAAAAAACGTAACCGAAAGGAATAATAATCTAACAACACAGTTTTAAAAGACTATAGTATATTGTAATGTTTTTTAATTAAAATATAAAGATAAATAATAAATTAAAAGAAGGGATCAAAAATAAATTAAGTTTAAAAAATAGTAGTATAAAACTTTGGTAAGATAAACTACAAAGGGTTAAAACTAAAATATTGGGGTGCACTGGAATGGAATGCCAGAACCATTCTTAGCCCATGAACAGAAACATAACCGGCAGAACATGAAAGTATGAAAAGCCCAAATTCTTAAAAAAGTTTAGGAGCACATCATAGCATAGCATGGCGGCGCTGGCGAGGATTTTGCGGTTGCAGACGCGATTCATTTCAACACAATCATTCCAATATGATCGCTACCCCATCCTTCGAGGTATCAAATTCATCGTAACTACCTATTCTTATCTTCTTTGCTAATTTCTCTCCGCGCTTCTCTTGTTTGTGTAAATTTTCATAATTTCCACTGGAAATTCTTGAGCTTATCAAAGATGATGGTTTTTAGGGATTCCTCATTTTTTTATAACTTTTGAATTACTTTTTAGTAGTTAGGTGAACTGGCCGTGCTACTTGTGCTTTATAATCATATAAGTCATATAAGTCCATTGAACCCATAATTTAGTCCCATAAAAATGGTTCCATAGAAAAGTTGCAACATTATAGTGTGTGCCGTTGTGGTACCAGAGACGTATAATGATGTCTCGGTGCAGTAGAGCGGTGGAGCAAGCTTCCAGTACGGCGGAGAGTGGGTGGAATTGCGAGGTCAACACTCCAACACTCAAGTCAGTTACCGAGTGAAAACTAGTGCGGTTCTAGATTATGGTTAGAACATAGGTCTTGTGTGAGATCCCTTATATACGAGGAGCAGTTAGAGATCCCTTTGCTTTCCGTCGTGGTATGCGGGGAACATTTGGGATGATATCCAATGGCGAATAACAATATGTGGTGCGGATCGAAAATGGGTCCTGAAGTAGTGTGTTCAGCGTGTCTCCAATACCTTATGACTTGATGATAAGGCCTCTCCATTATTGGGCTTCTGCCCGACCCAAAACACAGCAGCATGGGTTTTGTAAGAAGTCGTTTAGTTATTTGTTATATTTTTATGCAAGTATGTGACGCTGCACAAAAATGGGTCAACGTTATTTGATACTAAACCTTGAATTAACTTTCTTGTCCATTAACTGCACGGGTTCAAAACACTGGTCGGAAGCAATGCAGGCTTATTCTAAATAACTTGAGTTGGATTTTACTACTTGCATCTCTTGAAATATTAAGTAAACAGCCTTTTCCAGAATAACTTAACTTAAGTTGAACCTGTTCTAAACAATCTGTTATTTTCCTCTTTATCCATATGGTGACAGTTGTTATAACTTGAGCTTATGCATTACAAATGGAGGACTTTGTACTAGCTCTCTCTTACTCTCTCTCTCCCAACACTCCCATGCACAAGTCTTTCTTATTAACTTTTCATTGTTATGTTTATTGGCAGCTTCCTCTCGGCATTCTTCGATTAATACAATATTAAACAGATATGGATTTCTTAAAAGGGGGGTCTCGACGCAGACAAATCCAAATAAACACGTTTGTGAAGATGTAGAAAATAATGAAGTCGATGCCTTGAAGTCTAGCGCAAACTCAGATAATGTCCCTACATCCATGAGCATTACAGAGAACTCTGCCATAAAGTTTTCAGCTAATTCAAATTTGAAAACATCCTCAAGGCACGATCTTGCTATGATTTTCACCTGCAAGGTCTGTGAAACGAGGTCCATTAAGACAGTTTGTCGTGAATCATATGAGAAAGGTGTAGTTGTAGCAAGATGCGGTGGATGTAATAATCTTCACTTGCTTGCGGATCATCTCGGATGGTTTGGCGAACCAGGAAGCATTGAGGACTTCCTGGCTACTCGGGGAGAAGAAGTTAGAAGAGGGTCAGTTGATACACTAAATCTTACATTGGAAGATATAGCTGGAAAACAATCTTGAAAGGTACAATTTAACCAAATATATATAGGCTGCATTAGTGTAGCGCTGAATGAAATATTGGAAGGTGAGGGAAAGTAACAATTGTTGGTGTTCTTTAAACTCAGGCTTTTATTAAGTCTTGTGATTATTCTGAGATTAAAAAGTGTCTCATTCAATGTGATGGTATCTTAATTTATTATGGTGCATACTGAGATATTTGTCATATTCAAATATAGATTGGAAGGAATGCTTTTGATGGATCTTATGTTGTGAATCATATCTGCATCGATATATTATGGGATTTTCATGAATCATTATATAAAATATTCCTATTGTGTAGACGGTCTTTGGCCCAAGGGAATACTGATCCTTAATCAGATCCTATGGAAGTGTAGTGTCTTGAGCTTTCTATATAAAATTCCCATCTTAATTCAATTTTTTTTTAATGTGGTATCACGCGACAATTATGACATATTATCAGAATGCTTGAATAAATTGTGATATATCTCTAAAGTTTAAGTAACATTTTCTTCTTTTTCATCATATTGGCAAATACAAATTGAATATGTTATGTGGGAAGAAGTGAAGTCAACTAACTCATGAAAAGATAGTCGATTGAATATGTTATGTTATCCATGAGCAATACAGGCTATACAGCAGAAAAAATAAATAAAACAATTTGATGCATTTTAGATGGATCCAAAAAATAACTCGGATTATGTATAGATATAATTTTGATCACCAAAATATTTCAGCAGATATTACATTTTTGTTCTTGAATCTCTATAATCTTAGATATGTCATAAATTTATTTTATATTTGTCACATTGTCCAATATTTTTCTTCTTTAAAGTTGTGAGAAACTTTAAAAGAAGGCGATTTCTTTTCTCACCCCTTAAACCTACTCACAATTTTTAAAAGAAGGCAATTTCTTTTCCCATCCCTTAAACCTGCTCACAATTTTTTGGTGAAAATTTAAAAACCTGACCATGATGTCAAGATATTATGTGTGACATCTCTCATTTATCAACAACAGCTTCCGTGAACCTTATTCCAATCTACAAAGAAAAATAAATTCTCCTAGACAATATCAAATCCTATTTCTCAGGTCTCTCCTAAGAATCATGAACATAGTTGAGATAATTCAATAGCCTTAATAATTCAAACTCACAAGCAGAACTTACTAAGCTAAAGGATCAACACACCACGATGTCAAGACATCTAGTATGACATCACAACCTCACATGAATCACATGAACATCTTCATGTTCATAAGTGAGAAAATACCAAGATCATAATCCTTGTACTATAACCAATAAAATCTTGGATTGAGACCAGATAACACCATTGATCACTCTCCTTGAACACATCCACAGACTGTACAAATCCATCTTGAATCTTACAACCATAGACAACCTTGTTCTTTGAGAATAAATCCAATCAAGCCCCTTCTTCATATGAAGAGAGATACATCCTCAGTCTGCTTCCCTCTCAAGATTCAGCCTAATACAATCTTTTCTAGAGATACTTCCACCAGAACCTACCATTTACTCACAGATAATCAGAATTCACACAGTCTTGACCATTAGCACTACACCATACTCCACAAGGAATATATATAGCTCTAAAGATAAAAATAAAACTCAATCATCCTCCAAGAATAACCAATAGTAGAAATGATGTTCCAACATCATTTAGGATATCAGTCTCAATCAGAGGAGCCATGTTTGATTCTTGAAACATCAATCATAGGATTTACCATTTGCATAGTAACTCTTACACCTCGTTAAGGTACACATGAAGATCTTAATATGATACACACTTATATTGGTTTAATCTTCACACGAATCAGAAAACCACTGAGGGAAATAAACTATCATGCATCTCATAAAGCTTCTACCAGAAATAGAATGTGTAAATAATCTATCTGATGTTTTAGAGACATCAATCATCCTTAAGCACCTTGGGATTTCTTCTACATGCACCAAGGCATGAACATAAACAATTTCTCATTTAATTTTTTGTGTACTTCTCTTTTGCACAGACCTTCATAAAGTCAAGAACATCATCACTTGCAAAATCAAATGTTCCAAACATGTGATGACACACATTTCTTGGACCCTAAGCAAAAGTAAAACCTCCATTGAGCATACAAATAACTATAGTTATTTGACGTAGCTCCCTATAAGGATGATCAATCAGAGTTCTAAAAGATAGGTCTTTTGATCTACTAGAGAAACTAGATCATCCAATTCTAACTCCTCCTTGCTCCAGACATAATTCTTGAAAAGCTCATCCCAACTTGAAGGATTTATCTACCTCAACAAAACAAGAGTTCCATGTTCTCATATACTTGAAACTTATAATCAAGTTTGAGTAAACAACATCCATCCTCTTTTAAGAAAAATAACAATCAGTCTTCTGAAAAACCATCTTGATCAATTGCTTTTTTAAGTTCCCTTCAACCACATAATCATTCATACCAGAGACTATTCTATTTGAAAAGAGTATCCACAAGCAGGTCCACACGAATCTGGCTTCTTATAAGCAAAAGATTCTTTGAGATATCTGAGAAAACGCCCTAGATATTAGATTTTGACATGCATATAGTCTGGTTGAGATGCGTTTAACAGTCCTCCATTAGGAATTAGAACACATACTCCTATAGGAGATACTGGAACATAGCTTCTGCGCCCCTATGCGCTTAGATCAGAAATAAACTGACCCAAGGAATGTTCTTCAAAATGATCATGTGTTAATCTTCACTTCCACTAGCACACCTATCTATAACAAGTTTCTTGAATAAAGACTTCCTAAACTGTAAACCAAATGTCTCTTCACTTCCAGCCTAGTTGAATGTCAGTGCTGACATTTGAATAACCATACCGTTCCTTCTTTTCTATTTCAGAATAGACAGCCTTCCAAGAATTCTGATAAGGAATCCTCAAACATAGATAATCTCTTATAGGGTTCAGAGCAAAAATAAATTGCTCACGTCTTTCTTCAATGGTATAACATTCCCATGTTACACTTCTTAAATAAGTACACGCGGATCTTCTTTTTGACCATCTTCTCTTCTGAACTCTATTTATCAAACACATTCAGACGTTCCTTTATGAGTGGACTTGAGAGAAAACTCAAGTATCTTGGGCTACTTTAAACGTGACATACAGTGTTTACCAAATTCATAGATCATGAATTTGATAAACAAGATCTCAACTCAATCTTTTTCCTCCTATTACCCTTCATGGTACCTGGTTGAAACTATCTCCCAAGCAACATAAGAAGATCCTTCAGTGGAAGCCAGATCACAATGCTCTCTCCTTTATATTACTCCCAATTAGTGATAGCTTGAACATCTATAGAGGCTGACACAATCTTCAACAAGCGCCAGGTAAGATGTCAAAACATCTTATAAGGCCTCATGCATAACAATATCATCATTATCAGCAACATCGGTAGAATCTTCACAAAAGTATCAGTCAACCATCAGTAGTTGTCAGGCTAGATTCAAAAAGCTATCATCCTAGCTTCCAATCCTCTTGAACACAACAGTAATGGTTGGTATGATCATACAATCTCCTTCCTTGTTTAAAAGACCAAAAAGTATCTTCTTTAGAACTCATCCAAAAATAGAACATGATGTATGCTCTGATACCAATTGAAATTTTGGTATACAGATAACATATGTCCCAAGAAATGTTGAGACATTTATCTCTGTATTACTAAACAAGGACAAAATAAGAACATTCTGATATCTTAAAGTTATAATAATGTCATGACAGATGTTTCAACATCTGTTAAGACATATATTTTAGAGCATAAGAATAAACTAAATTATGCATAGAAGAATGATAAGTAACACCAAGATATAATGAACCAGTTTGGTGTACAACAACACCTACATCTGGAGGCTACCAAGTCAAGAATGAATTCACTATCAGTAGTATTAATTCTAAGTATACAACCTCTGATAATTTATCACTTAATTCTCTACCCGGTGCAACTTCTACCTAGAAACCCATATAGATAAGAGAAATCCATCTCAATTCCTAAATCACCTCAGTGATATCTAACAGTCACAACCACCAGTGACTGTATCAAACTATTCAATTGAAAGACAACCCTTTCAACACAATTTTCAGTCAATATTCTTGACTAACACTAATACTTGAATTTTCTTAAAAGCTTCATCCAAGAACAATATACAATTCATTACCTATATATTTCTGAATATGAAAAACTATGTCTACCACAATGTATCAAACCGATACAAAAGGTGACTTACAATACAAGAAAAACACACGACCCTCAAAATCCTAAACCCTTATTTTTGTTTTACAAAAGTCATAACAAGGACTAGTGATTTGCCCTAGGTCTTGATCTTCCTTTTATAATCTTCACCTGTCCATGTGCTTCGAAATCTCTGTCCAATCATTCCTTGATCCATGTTCTGATTGCACCTTAAATCTTGGAACAAATCTGCAACAAACCTGCTGTGTCAGATCAAGATGTCAAGTTCTCAAGATAGGACTTCTTGTCCGACATGTTGTTCTTTACAGATTTCTTCATATTAGAACATCTTGTTCGACATCATGTTTTATCAAAATTTAGTCAAATCTTAGAGCCTTCAAAAGACATTTTCCATAATAGTGGCGGTTTAAAGCGGTTCAAGTGCTGAGGGCACGTGGAAACAAATTAGAAAATGAAAACGCATGAAGAGGTATACATGTCGGATGTTAAAGACAAAAGCCCATGCAACAATATATGTACCAAAATTTTAAGAGTTAATCGTTGCTGGTAGTTGATAATGTACCTAGTATATAAGCTAATTTCTACTCTGTAGTTAGGGTTTACAATTCACTTTTGTTCTTTTTAGAACTCATACATCTGAATTCACTAAGATAACTAGTTTGTGAGAAATGTATGAACGTGCGTTCCATTTTTTATTCTAACGTTTCAATTGCTTTATTGTTAATTACTTATTTACTTGCTTTGTCAATTTAAGCGCTTTTACTTTATTTATTTGGATGTTTATATTAGAAATCCTTTCAACATAAGTGCATTTTCTCGAACGTTTTACACAAAATGTCCTTACAATTTTTGAGTTTGATTCTAGAAGTGAATTAAAGCTCGTGATTATTTACTAAAAATACCAGTAAATAGAAAGTTAATTAAAAATTCTTAAAACTAATTGATTACAGACCAAATCAAATGGTATTTAAACCAAAACAAAGATAAACTAAGAAAATGTTGGCATTTTAGAGAGTTTCTCTCTTTTAGTGTAGCTATTTTACATGTTTTTATTTGTTACCTCTATTTTACATGTTTGAAATAAGTGCATGTTGTTCATGAACAAATTTCTTTATGGACTGTTGTAATACGGAGATTGTTAATGTCTAATGGATCTGGTTAATTTAAGAGAACTGATCTCATTGTCTACTAGTGAATGGTCCGTTTTAAACTAGAGTAGAGTTCTGTATGAACAGATCCAACACATGGATTGTTTAACCTAGCGAAATTGACTAATTCAAGGATATCGATCCCATTGTCCACTAGCAGAGGGTTCATTTAAAGTCAAAATAATGCTCTATATAAGGGATCAATCTCATCGTTCAGTAGCAGGGGTTCATTTAAACCCAGAGCAACCATAGTAAAGCTCTGCATAAGAACCTCATCGACTACTAGTTGGGTTCCTTTTAAAGTCTCAACGACCATAACATAGTTTTGTATAGATGACTAATCTCATAGTCTATTAGTGGGAGTCCATTTAAAGTCAGAGCAGTCATAACAAAGTTATGTATAGGAGACCAGCTACGCCGTCCACTAGAAGAGGTCTATTTAAAGTCATCTAATCTCAATGTCCATTAGCAGTGGTCTATTTAAATCCGTCAATTTCATTGTCCACTAGTTGGGGTCAATTTAAAGCTAGAACGGTTACACTAAAGCTCTGTACAAGCGACTAATCCCACCATCCATTAATGGAGCTCCATTTAAAGGCAGAACAAAATTATGTATATGAGACTAATTCGACTGTCCACTAGTGAACTCCGTTTAAATTCATAGCAAAACTCTGTATAAGAATCAATTTCACCATTCAAAATTTGTCTATATAAGGGATTAATGTCATCACCCACTAACGAAAGCCATTTAAAATTAAAACAAAACTCTATATAAACTTATCTAACAAAATAATTGTTAACACCTAATGGTTGTTACACATAATTGAATTTAAAATTAAGACCTTGAAAGAAACACATTCTTAAGTGTTACTCTTCACTATAAGGTCAATCCTAGAGTTTGCTTCCTCAACTCATTTAAAAAAAATTAATATGTAATCACAATATAAAATTATTAAATCCAATATCTTCATTTTCATAATATTACTTTATTATTAGTTTTTTTTATATATATATATAATTATATCATATTAATTTTTAAATCCATTTAACTTTTAAGCAAATCTTTTATTTCTGTCTATTTCTTTAACTCAATCTTATTTTCGCGTTTCTTCTTTTTGCCGTGGCCGTATTTCAGTCAAAGAAATTAGTGTAATAGCCAAACTCGGTGACCGTGTCCGTAAAAAACCAAATAGCCATAACAAGAACCGAATTGAATTGAATTGAAGTTGAAGAAGAAAATGGCATGCCACTCAGCTTCTGCTATTGCTATTTCATCATCTTCTCTTCGCATAACAAATCCAATGCCCACAAAACCTCTTCTCTCTTTCCCTCCCACCTCATCTCGCCTCCTTCCTTTCCACAAATCCTTCACCTCCGTTTCTCTCCGTTCTTCCACTAAACCATCCACCAAGTCTTTTCAAGGTTCCGTCTTTTTATTTGTTTATTTCTTTTTCCTATTAATTTAGTTGTTGTTCCTTTAATTCATCTAGTTTAGGAGTGTGGGAATTGAAGTGTTTGATTGTAAAAGCAAATAATTGTTGGAAGTTTGTATAGAAATGGGGTAATGAGATATCAGTAAATAGGGGTTATGTTATGTTAATGGGTATGCTTGTTGTGATTTTATACATTACTAACTAGTTTAATTTCAACCATAATTTTCTGTGTTGCAATTAATTATATACCATACGGAAGTGACAAAATTGAAGTAATTTAATGTAGCCGGTGTCGATGTTGTGTTAATACTTGATATTAGACACGCCTTTAATCTAAAGTGGAAGTGCTTTTTTTTTTAGTAATTTGGGCTATTTTTGTACCTTTTGAGAATTTCACTACACCTTTTAATGTTTTGCCTTGTTTTGTTGTCAGTGAGATCAGTGGCTACCCCTACGGAATCAATAGCGGGGTTTGATGACATGATTGCTGGAAGCAAAAGGAAGTATTACCTGCTAGGTGGAAAAGGAGGGGTAGGGAAAACAAGTTGTGCTGCTTCACTTGCTGTTAAGTTTGCAAATAACGGACATCCTACTCTTGTAGTTTCCACCGATCCGGCACATTCTTTGAGTGATTCTTTTGCTCAGGTTAGACACATTCTTTCTAGTTTCGATTTTGCTTGACTATTACCTCTTTCAAGTTCTGATTTTATGTGTGCTCGGTAGGATTTGGCAGGGGGAGCATTGGTACATGTGGATGGACCTGATTATCCACTTTTTGCGCTTGAAGTAAGCTGGAGTTTCTGTAAAATAGATCAATGTTATACTTAATATCATGATTGTTATTTTTGTGTACTTTTGTGCACCATTTTATGTTACATTTGTAGTTCCTTATGCGTTTTCTTACTTTTGTAGTTTCTTACTTGCTTTACAGATAAACCCTGATAAGGCTAAGGAGGAATTCCGAGATGCGACTGCACAAAATGGTGGAAGTACTGGAGTCAAAGATCTCATGGGTGACATGGGTCTTGGACTGATGGCAGACCAGGTAAAAGCTTATTTACGTATAAAATGGTTTTAGAATACATTAACGTATTTATAACCTGTAGCACACCTTAAGCTATTTAATTCTTAAGAAATCTCGTGAAACAAGATTAACATTATAACTAGGAAATACTGGAATATAACTCGTTCTGCTTCATTATAAGCTTCCTTCTTTAAGACGTGTTGTTTCATTCTTTGGTTGTAAAAGTTAGGAGAGCTAAAACTGGGAGAATTACTGGATACATCTCCTCCTGGAATGGATGAAGCTCTTGCGATTTCCAAGGCATGTGTTTTTTTTATGCTCTCTGGTGACTTGTTTATTTGCTAATCTATTTATTCGTGCAATAAATCCTTTTTCCCTCTACTAATAAGTAAAATGTTCTTGCCAGGTTATGCAATTTCTTGATTCGCCGGAATATAACATGTTCACCCGCATTGTATTTGATACGGCACCTACAGTGAGCAAAATGCTAATAGTTATATATATTTGATATCTGCTTTGTTTTTGGACATTATCTAATAGCGTTTAACCATTTTCCCGAACAGGGTCATACATTACGTTTATTGTCATTGCCTGATTTCATGGATATTTCATGGATGCATCCATCGGAAAAATACTAAAGGTATCACTGCTAATTTTATATTCGTTATATATAAAATGGCTAGCCACTAGGTCAGTCTTGAAATACTAGTTCACCTACGAATATGTTTTTATCAAATTGTGTTAATGCCATTATGCTGCTGCAGCTAAGGCAAAAGATAACTTCTGCTACCTCTGCAATTAAATCCGTGTTTGGGCAAGAAAATACTCGCAGTGATGCTGTAAGATTCATATTGTCGGGTTACTGTTCCATTTAATTTCATCATAACATGCTTACCATTTTCCATATCTTGATGATACAGATTGACAAACTGGAGACGGTTAAGGAGAGGATGATAAAAGTGCGCGAGCTTTTCCGTGACCCTGATTCAACAGAATTTGTTATTGTTACAATCCCCACGGTATGACCAAGAAATGTGTTCCACAACTGAATAATGATTGAATAACTGATGCATATACAGACTGACTTATATAATTTCAGCTTTGAACAATGTCATTTTTTGATTTATGTAGCCAATCTGACCTTGTGAGAACTGGCATTTTCCACTGTTATACTCTACCAACTGAATAATAGATAACTTAATTATATAGTTCTTAAACTTCATAATCATTTAAATGTCTTTATTCCTTAAGGTGATGGCAGTTAGTGAGTCATCTAGATTGAGTGCCGCCTTGAAGAAGGAAAGTGTTCCTGTGAAGAGACTCATTGTTAATCAGATTCTTCCACCATCTGCATCTGATTGCAAGTTTTGTGCCATGAAAAGAAAGGTGCTTTAACTGTTTAATATCCTATTTTTCTGCAGGTTTTAAGCTGAATGATAATTCAATTAATAAAACAATGTAACTAAAAATGAAGGGTTAAATCTTACTGCAAACAAACTTTTCAGGATCAAACGCGTGCTCTTGATATGATTCAGAGTGATCCAGAACTCTCGACCTTATCGGTGATCCAAGCACCACTTGTTGATGTTGAGATAAGAGGTGTTCCTGCCCTCAAATTTCTGGGTGACATTATCTGGAAATGAAATCACAGTAATTCAAATAATGATTAGGTAATATGTTGTTTTAACTGTGTTGATAGCACTATTTAAATATACTTTATTAAGTTCACTTAGTACTATTTAAATTTGAAGTCATTTTATGATTATTTACAGCCAAAATATACATAGAATCATATCCTATCTCATTTAGATGTTGCCAAAATTAGAAATTTTCTTTTCTTTACCATTATTATGTATTAAATTTAGTAATTTACTGAAGTTGGCAGTTTTCGGAAGAACCCATAACTTGGGCACATGACATCACATCAAGGCTTATCATAGTTTATACGGTGAAGTGGTAGATGCTGGAGGAACAAGAAGTTTTTTTATATCTACAGTTCAAAATGAAAAGAAACTAGTTATTGTATATTCACTGATTCACTAGCATGCATTCGAAACTGTTTGTATATGGCGCTTACTTTCACCTCTTGAAAATTTTACCCCATAGCCTTATTTTTATTCCTCTGCCTCTACATTTTATCAAAAATATCAATTTTACTTTTATATTTTTAATTAATTTAATTATTCTATTGCATATCGAAAAACTTTGCAAAAGAATTCTGATACACAATAAAAATTAAAAAATATTTTAAAAAATAACTACCATAATTTTTTTGTAAAGTCTTTCGATACACAAAAATTAATTATCGAAATTCTTTTTCAAAGTCTTCGGACACACAAAATAAAAATTTTAAAAATTTTAAAAAATAATTACAGAAACTCTTTTGCAAAGTCTTTCCGTACACAAAAATTAATTATTGAAACTTTTTTGCAAAGTCTTCCGGTACACAAAAATTTTAAAAATGACTAATGGAATTCTTTGGTAAAGTTTTTCTGTACATAAAAAATTGACCTACCAGAACTCTTTTGCAAAAGTCTTTCTGAATATAAAAAATAAGTTAAAAATGGCTAACAGAACTCTTTTGTAAAATTTTTTAAAACTCAAAATAAAATTTAAAAGATATTTAAAAATTAAAATAATAAATTAGTTTAAAATATATAAGGATAAAATTAGTATTTTTTATAAAACCTAAAAGTATAAGAATAAAAGTAGGGATATTAGGTAAAACTTTCTAACCTCTCTAATGATGAGCTCAATATAGACCTACTTGATTTTGAATTAGATTATAAAATTGTGATAGATAGTTTTTCTTCTCCCAGAAAAGATTACACCGAATTTGGTAATATTGGGCATTGCATAGATTTCTCTATTTATTTTACTCCTTCCTTTTCTGTTTAGTGTCACCTTTTTATCTTTTACATATTATAAAAAAAATAATCAATATTATTATTTTTTATATAATAATTAGTCTTTTATTTATAATATATTTAATTATTTATCATATTTATTTTATTTTATTTCTCTCTGTAATAATTATTTATGAGTAATTTTGACAAAAATGCATTTAATACTGACAAGTGACAATTAAAAAAAATGATTTAATTTTAGTGTTGAGTTTATTAGAAGACAAACGAATGAGATTGTTCATAGTTTTGGCCACATCTCTAGCTATTTTTTCAATTGTTGTCGTATTTGATGCATTTTGATTAAGAAAATGTTATAAGTTTTTTTTTTTACTAAAAAGAATATATGATACCCACTTGATGCTGATATTTTGAGAAAAATTCACTTGGAGACAACAATAACAATCATAAAAAAAATTTAAATAACATATACACAAAAAATTTAAGGTGAAAATTTTCCCTAACAAGAGAAAATACTTAAAATAATAATTACGCAAAAGTCTTTTAAGTAATACCAAAGAACAACAACTATCAATTAACAATGATGGAAGCTGAATAACGAAATAATACTTTCTATAGTTTAAACAATCTTAAGAGAAAGTAACACTATTTTAAAAATACATTAAAATAAATTAGATAAGTGATAAAAACGAGATATTGAAATCGTAGCGAACATCGAACTAGTTTTTTTTTACATGTGCATCTATCAATTGAGCTTCATTAGTTAAGTGATAAAAAAGAAATATTGAAATCGTTACTCCACTATGTTAGTCTTTTTTCTACTGTAAATTATCTTTGTCATATACAATGACTTTATAATCATATTTGAATCATTTTCATTAGTATCAATCTTCTTAAGTGAAAAATAATTTTATTTCCAATGCTTCTTTTATTCAATGTAATCACACCTGAATGTTGCTTTAACCAAGAATAAAATGTCGAATTTTTTCAAAGATGAATTGCACTCTAATTGACACAAAACAAAAATAAATTTCTCTTGTTCAACACAAAATTCTTGTAGAATTTTTTTCATCAACCAAAGTTATTTAAATGCTTCAGCTGATGTAATATACTCAGTATCGATAATACATAAAACAAACAAATTTTTCTAACCTAAATTGCTAAGACATGGTTCCGCTACGAAAGTTTTCATGCATTCAGAAGTAAATTTTTTGTAGTCAATATTACTAGTCATAATTGCATTTGTATAGTCATCTAACAAAAGTTCACAACTCGTAAAGCATAAGTCAACTTTGAAACTATCTCTAAAATATTCGAGAATTCATTTTACTACTTGCAAATGATCTTTATCAGAATTAGAGATGATGTGACTAGCAATCAACATGAACAATATTTGGCTTTTTACATATCATAACGTACATCAAATTATCAATTATGGATGCATAAAGAATTTTCTTCATATATTTTTCTTTCACTTGTAGGGACATTGTTTAGAACTCAATTTAAAATGATTAATAAGGAGAATCTTCGTAAATTTTGAATTGCACATATTAAACCTCTATAATACATTTTCAATATAATTGTGTTGAGACAACCACAATTTTCCATTTTCTTATCACAAATACATCTCATGTCAAGGATTTTTTTTATAAAGCATCCAAATCGTTCATTGAAAAAGAATTGCTTAACTCTTTTTTTAGACTTTGATTTTTTTTTTTTTTGTCGTGACCAATAATACTTATCATTAACATATAAGAAGAAAATAATAAAACTTTCATAAGAAAATATATTAAAATACACACAATAGTCAATAGAAGTTTTACCTTACCAACTATTATCTATAAATGAATCACATTTCTCTGTACTATTATCATGGTACCTTTTTAAGTTTGTACAAACTTTTCTTCAATATGAAAACAAACTCTTATTTTCCTTTGACTTTGAAGCCCTTTAGGTTGTTGGTCCGTATAAATTTATTTCTCACCAAATCACCATGAAGAAACATCGTCTTCACATCAATTTATGCAACTTCTAAGTTCAAGATAATTGTTAATCTATGCACAACTTGAATAGAAGTTATCCTTATCATAAGTAAGAAAAAATTTTCAAAGTCAACACCATTTTTTCTGATTAAATCCGTTCGCAACCAATATTACCTTCTAACTTAATTGAAATTTATTCTTTTTGGGAAATGCTAACCAGTGCTCTCAGGATACTTTTTAAAACTTTAAATAGTAAGTTTTTATAAAAATATGTGCAATGATGTGTAATAATAATGTGCATTGAAAATTGAAGTGTTTGAATTTTTTAAAAAATAATTTCTTAATATGGAATGTTTAAATAGTGCCCTGAGGGCACTGGTTAGCAAGACCCATTCTTTTTATACTTTATCTTGTATACCATTTGTTTTTTAGTTCTCTTCTTCCCTGAGACAATTTTATAAACCTAAATATATGACTCTCGTGCAATAACTTCATCGCTTCTTACATAACCATTTTTTTTATCAATATTTGTGATGACCTTTTGGTGATGCTTTGGATCTCCACTATTAATAATCATCATATACTATCACATGGAGGATATATATTATTTAGTGAGAATATGGACAATAAACATTCTGGAGGGGGTTGGGGGGTTAATAGACATCCTAAGTCAAAAGTTTGTTTGAAAATTTTTTCATCAAAGTTTCAAAAATAGAGTTTATTTTGCGTGGCAGAAGCAAATTTTGCGTCAAAAAGATTATGCTTATATGTTGAGAGATTTAAAAATATATTTAATCATTTTAAAATATATCAAATCAAATTATTGAATTACACCAAATGTACAAAATAATCATATTACAAAATCGTTCAATTACACAAGAAATATTATCGAATGATTTTCAATCACACACAAGATTCTACTATCAATGTCTTTAGACTTAATTCACACTAAGACAATGGTGAATTACTAATTCTAACAAAACCTACAACTTATGCAATAAATCGCTACCAACATAAAATCCTATTAGCATGCAATTCTAGAAAGTAATAGAAACAACCTAATCATGCGATCAACTATAAAATAAAATAAGTGATATTCTCTCTCTCTCTCTCTCTCTCTATATATATATATATATATATATATATATATATATATATATATATATATATATATATATATATATATAATATTATAAGAGTTCGTACAATCACTTAGTCCAAAAATAAATGCTGAAAATTTAATTTCTTACTTTCTGGACCTTGACTTGTACAAAACTCCACGAGCTGAACTCTATGCGAAATCTTTACTCAAGATTGCTTCTTGAATCTTCCATCCCTAACAAATTGCTCCTAAGTCTTCATCTACGTCAAGTTCCACACAATTTCGTTGGTATCTTGTGCATTGGTCTGTCTGAAGATAGAGAAGAACTCATAACTTATCCGTAGACTTCCACAGAGTACTACCAATCACAACACCACATACTTTTTCAAGCATCTGAAATCTTAAACAAATCTTCCAAAAAATGTTAAAACCAAAACAAATATCCTTAATTAATCACGGATCTTCAAAGATAAGATTTAGATTCATGCATGAATGAAAAAAAATAAGATAGAAGATGAAAGAAATCATCTCTCAAATCATCAATGGAAGTGTATGTTTTCTAACATTTTGAAAAGTGAGAGAGAGAGAGAGAGAGAGAGAGAGAGAGAGAGAGAGAGAGAGAGATGATTTATAAGTGCTGGAGATGAAAAAAAGAGAGTAAAATATCATATTTTATTTAAGTTAAGAACACTTAG